TAAATCCAGCTCAGAGTCCAAGGCCCTGGACATCCTGCAGCAGCATGCCAGCCACTACAAGAGCAAATCACCCACGGTGAGGTTCAGGAAGGTGCTGGCTTTGCCCATCCCTGTTAATGAGCTTCGAGTGCTTCCTGGATAACCAGCCTGAAGCAGCATTGCCTGCCGTGGGGTTTTGCCATCCCTGCTGCTGTAGGAGACCTGGGACTGGGGAATAATCCCACAGCACAGCCCCTCTGGGATGGACAGGCCAGGGAAGCAGCAGGGCTCTTCCAGGTCCTGCAGCACCCAGGTGACACTTGTCCTCAGCACTGGAGCTGGTGGGGGGGTGCAGGGGCTGTACCCATCCCATGGCACTGCAGGGGCACGAGCTCCTCTTGGTCTTAGCTGGAAGGCAGAGCTTTGACACGGTGCGGGAAGAGCTGCCCTCAAACAGACCCTCACCCTCCCCGCTGCTTTTGGGCTTGTCAGCAGCCATCCTGTCATCTCCTGGCAGCATTGTGGGGAGCCTTTATGTGAAGGTGGGGGGAGTATCACCCTATGCTATGGGGCAGCCTCGAGCCTTTATGTGAAGGTGGGGGGAGTATCACCCTATGGGGCAGCCTCGAGCCTTTATGTGAAGGTGGGGGGAGTATCACCCTATGCTATGGGGCAGCCTCGAGCCTTTATGTGAAGGTGGGGGGAGTATCACCCTATGGGGCAGCCTCGAGCCTTTATGTGAAGGTGGGGGGAGTATCACCCTATGCTATGGGGCAGCCTCGGGCCTTTATGTGAAGGTGGGGGGAGTATCACCCTATGCTATGGGGCAGCCTCGGGCACCCGGCCTGGGTCCAGTGCTCCCCTGCCCTCAGCATGCGCCTGCTTTCTCCTCTCCAGATAAGCGAGAAGACGTCTCAGGAGCGGGAGCGCGGCGGCTGCGGGGTGGTGGGGGGCGGCGGGAGCTGCAGCAGCGTCGGGGCAGCCGGTGGCGGGGAGCGGAGCACGGACCGGCCGCGCACGTCACCATCGCAGCGCCTGCTCTCAACGCACCACCACCACCACCACCTCGGGTACTCGCTGCTGCCGGCGCAGTACAACCTGCCCTATGCAACAGGTGAGAGCAGGGGGGTCAGGGTGGAGCCGGAGCCGCCTTTGGGCAGCGTGAGCCCCTGTGCTGAGCTTTGCTTTGACCCGTGCCCGGGTGCCCGTCCTGGGCTGCTGGCTCCTGACTCGGGTTCTCCTCCACAGGTCTCTCCTCCACAGCCATCGTTGCCAGCCAGCAAGGCTCCGCTCCCTCCCTGTACCCGCCTCCCCGGAGGTGAGACCGGTAAGGCTCTGCTCCTGCAGCACCGGCAGGATGGGGCTGGGTGCACAGGGGATGCCCTGGGCAGAGGGTTTGGGGTTTGCCCGTCCCCCCCCTGGGCTTGTGGGAGCTGACTTGAGCTTGGGTTGTGGCAGGACGTGATGCGCTGGGACGCCTGGGCTGTACGAGACATGTGACTGGCTCACATGGGGAAGCGCTGGAGACTCCTTTAGACATCAGTTGAATGGTGTTCATTGTTCTGCTTGACGTTCCTGCCGTGATCCGAGGCAGACTCTGTCTTCTCCCCTCGCACACCCCACTGGACACACACTGACTCCCCCTCTGCACCCTCCTCTTGGTGAGCGGATGAGCTGGTACCTGCAGAAATATTTATTCTCCTGGGCACTGGCGCTGGAGGGGACTCGCCTGCCTGGTGCAAATGAAGAGGAAACAGAAGCACTGAGGTTTCTCGACTGATTTGGGACCCCACCGTGTCTCTGATGGGGCTGAGCACCATGGGACCAGGGCCTGGCAGGGTCACTGCCTGCTCCTCAGTGGGGCTGGCGTGTGGGGCCGAGCCTGCCGGGAGCTCTCAGGAAAGGAAGAGCTGGCTCACGTGGAGCCAAGGTGGGTGTTGTGGGGCTGGGGCGGGTGTCAGCCTGGCCCAAGCCTGCCGTGGGGCACAGGGACGTGCTGCACGTGGGGCGCAGCCTCTCCCCATTGCACCCCCAGCACCCGCTGCTCCGTGCCTGTGTGGGTCAGGGGATCTGGGGCTGTGCTCTGTCCCCGTGAAGCAGCCCCTGCCCCAGGGTGAGCGGGGCTCTGCAGGGCTGGCGGCTGCAGGGTTCTCCCTGTGCCTTGCAGGGCCCAGACCTGCTGGCAGCTCACACCTGAGGCTTTTGAGCTGTGTCTGCACCCCGCAGCCTTTGTGCCCAGCCCCAGGAGGTGCTCCCCAAGCCCCAGGGCAGCGCATCGAGGGAGGGGACAGGGCTGCGGCTCCTCTTCACACCCACCTTGTGCTTCTGAGGCGCTTCCCAGGCCGCGGGCAGAGCCCAGCAAGGAACAAGCACACTTAGGCTCTACCAGAGGCACTTGGGCCCTGCCAGGCCTTCCCCAGCCTCGTGCAGGGGCTCCAGGCCCTGGAGGAAGCTGGTTCTGCTCCCCAGTGCCCAAGGACAGGGGCTTTCTGGTCCTCTGCCTCCAGCCCCAGAGCGGCTCTCCCCAGGCCGATGCTCTACCTCGGCCCCGCACAGCCGGGCTGCCCCAGCCGGGGGACACGGGGGCCCTCGGTCTCGGTTCTGTGTGTGTGTGTGTCCGTGTCGCACCCGGCCCCCTGGGGCTGCTGTACCGGGATGCTCTGCCCGCCGGGCTCTGTACATACTGTAAAAAGCAATTGTTTGAAAGCTGTTGTTTTGGGTTTTGTTTTCTTTCCCCAGTTCTCCCCCATCCCATTACCCAGTTGGAAAGGAGGCGCTCGCTGCTCTTGGTCCTGGCTTGGGGGGGCCGACAGCGCAGCGGCCCCAGCCGGCTCTCCTTGCTCGACCCGTTGTAGTCCCACACTTGGGGCTGTGTGCAAGGAGACAGGGCTGTGGCCCCGCCGGCTCCTGGGGACAGGGCAGTGGCTCAGCCCCCTGCGCCCATTACAGATCCTGATGCAGCCACCGGGTCAGGGCGCTGGGGGAGCTGCTCCGTGGGCACGGGTGCCTGAGCAGGGCTGGGGGTGCCACAGCCCACGCTGGCAGTTGAAGGGGGCCGGGGGGGACTCCCCACCTTCCCAATTGGGTCCCAGTTGCGTCTCCCTTTAGGTGTTAAATGAAGCAGCGGTTTATGCAGAATAGGTTTGAGGTTTGGCTTTCTCCGGGTTCTCCTGGCCAGTCCTTGCCCGGGGGGTGCAGCCCAGCCCCTGCTGGGGGGGGGTCCCCTCTCCCCAGCACCCCCCGGGCGGCCGGTCAGGGTGTCAAACTGTTGGTGTTTATAGCTCGTTGCCATTGGCGTTGCTGTGTTGGGTTTCATTTCAGTCTTCCTGATTCTGCCCTTCTGTAAAGTGTACATTATTACCAAGTTCCTTGTTTTTTTATATATATATATATAAATATATATATATACAAACTGTACTCTTCTTGCCTTTGTACATTTGGGCGAGGAGAGAGAATAAATCTTTTTAAGAGACAATCACAAACCTGTGAGGGTGGCTTTTTCTTCCTGCTTGCCCCAGTTCTGGTCCTTTGTCCCAAAAGCTGCAGCCAGTGATTTCTGTTTGGGGTGGGTGATGGGATGGCGTCCTCGTCTCTGGAGCAGCTGCAAGGGCTGAAACAGATCCTGGTCCTGATGCTGCACTCACGGGTCTGCAGCCACGGCGGTCCAGTGGGGCAGCAGGTTCTGCCCCCCAGCACCCACCTCCTTCCTTGCACCCAGTGCTCTGCCACCAGCACCCATGGCCTCACACAGGGACACTGCAGCCAAGCTCTGAGCCCCTTCCTGGCTTGGCTCCCCCAGCCTCGAGGCAGGAGGCAGCACCCAGAGAAAGCAGAGGTGCCTTCTGGAGCCTCAGCAGGGAGCTGCTGAAGGTGCTGAAGTGAGACCTCATCTGAGCCCACGTGCGTGAGCCAGGCCAGGACAATGATGGCACATGCTCCATAACTGCACAGGATCAGTGAGTGCAGGAGCTCATCCTCACTCCAGGCTCCCATGATGAGCACATGGCACTGGACCAGTACACTGTACCAGAGCAGCAGAGGACAGGAGCAGGGCCCTGGAGCTCACTGGAACACCCAGGGAGGCCAAGGGAAAGGGAAGGGATGAGACTTGGCCCTTTGAAAGCCAGAACCAGGCACCACTGTTTCAGGTGGGGAACAAGGGCAAGGACTCATTTGTCCCCATACATTCCCTGGAGCAAGGACAGCTGCAGCCCAGCCTCTCATTTTACACCAGATACAGGATTTAATGCCCCACTGAGGAGGGATTAGAGCCACAAGCCCTTTGCTTTCATTGGAAGGGGAAGAGAGACACAAACTTGATGATTTATTCACACAAACACATCCCAGCCCCTCCTCTGTCCCCCGGACAGAACGCACTGACCATGGCCTTTATGGAACGGCTCAGCTTCAGCTTTTGACACCCCCCTCGCAAAGGCAAGAACCCAACACAGCACAGGGGACAGTCCCACACGCACACAAGCAGCCAGACCAGGCCAGGCCGAGCTCCCCATGGGGTGCAGTGCAGAAGCGCACCCGTCCTGCAGGGCCTGCCCAAGCAAGCCACCCCCGTCCCCGTCCCCGTCCCATCCGTGGCACAACAAGAGCACGACCTCGCTCTCCAGCTGAGGGGGAGGGCTGGAACACAAGCACGTGCTGGCACCAGACCCCATCTCCCCATCCCTGGAGAGGCCCTGGGCAGGGAGCACATCCCACTGCAGCCAGCACACACACACACACACACACACACACACACAACCCCTTTGGCTTGGGTACAGCCGCCAGCTCCGGCTCAAGTCCTGAGGCCATCTCTTTGGAAGGGTGAGGAGGCAGAGCAGAGGTGATGGCAAGGGGCCTGGTGTGGGTAAAGGCTTGAGCTCTGACCCAGCACACTGCAGGCAGGGGGAAGTGCTGCCCCTATGCAGAGGTGTTGCTCCACACACGCGCCTGCCCCTGCGAGGCCACCGCAGCACTGCGGGCCCACCAGCGGTTCTGTGCCTGTCAAATAAGCAGCCCCAGGTGTGTGAAGTTCATCGGAATGCCCCTTTATTGAACGCTGTGCTAGTGCAGTGGTAACATTGAACAGAGCTAAGACTGCTTAAAACAAAAGCTGGAAGAGCAAGGAGTCTGAAAGGGGTGGGGGGGGAGAAGGGAAAAGAAAAGGTTAGACCAGTTAAAACAGCATTGGTCGCCCCAAAGCGGAGACACACGGGGGTTTAATGTAGTGTTAAAGGTTAAGCATGAGCACATCTCCTCCACATGCCTGACACCCAAAACATGCCTCCTGCTTCAGAGTCTTGAGTGAAAAGTCAAAACGTGGTCTGTCAGATGAGCACACATGGGGGGACTGGGGAAGGACCAACACGGATTAGAGAAGTCAAGGAGTCAGTGCTGCACCTACTGCTGTACTGCCCACACCCGGCCCGGGGAACCAGGCTAACACACCACACAGCTGCACGTAAAGAGCTCCTATGCCAGTTCATAAACATCTTCCATTTACTATTTGGTGATTACATGTGTGTATATATAGTTCTCTAGGCAACACGTTTCAATGAGATAGCCAACTCTGAGGATACACAGGCCAATCTAACAATGAAAAATGCAGTTTCAGTCCAACAGAAGCTTGTTTTCCCTTTCCTCAAGAAAGGAGATTGAACCCTCTCTCCCCTCAACAGCATTTCCAGGTCACACTGGAGTTCCCCGCTGCAGCTATTCTTCATCTGAGGAAGAGTTCTGATCCAGGGGGTACACCATGAACATCACGTCTGGCCGCGACGGGACAGAAGGGTGACCAGGCCTCACGATTTCAAAGCCCAAGAAGCTGAATGTTTTCAGGAGAGGAGCTACCAAAGAGAAGGAAGTCTGTTACTACCAGCAATAATCCTCTTCACCTGCCACCCTAAAAGCCACAAATATCAGCACCTTCTCAAAGGGCATCCTTCTTCCTGCAAAGAAAGAAGCCATTTGAACGTGGCAGCCCCTCCAATAGGAGGCTGTGTCTCCTCCTGCATTCATCACAGCTGCTCCTAAGTGGGAAGGGGATTTTAATTATGCAGCAGAGCAGGTTTGTCCAGGTTTACCCTGCGATGGCTCATCCATCCCCTCTGAGAACAGCAATGGTTTAGTTATCTACCTGCAGCAACCACAGACCCACTCTCTTGCACGTGGCCGTTGCAGCGTGTCACAGCTCTTACTCTATACTTAGGTGGGTCCTGCACCCCGAGCCCTAAAAGTGGGTCAGACAGCAGCAAACTCCAGGTCCAGGCAGACATTTGCTCTGTGAGGACCCGGAGCTCAGTACAGCTCCAGGCAGCTCAGTACAGCTCCAGGCAGCTCAGTACAGCTCCAGGCAGCTCAGTACAGCTCCAGGCAGCTCAGTACAGCTCCAGGCAGCTCAGTACAGCTCCAGGCAGCTCAGTACAGCTCCAGGCAGCCCAGCCCAGCCCAGCCCAGCTCGGTGCAGTCCCCTGGGAAAGGCACCATGGGTTATGCACAGGAACCGAGCACAGGGTCAGCCCAGAAGAGCCCACAGCCCTGGTCGCAGTTACGCAGTGACAGGATGCGTCCTCGCTTGTGCTAAAGCATCGCTTCCCTGTGACCCATGGAAGGTACCCTGGTGCAGCATCGAATCTCTGCGGCACCCTGTGATGGTCAGCTCTGAGCCACTGAGCTCCAAGGGAGCTCCCACACAGCTGTTTTCAAGACAGCGCCTCATTTCAACTGCACAGACGAGGGCCCAGGAGCTGGAGCACCCCAGTCCAATAGGCCAGGTCCAAGAGCAACACAGAGCCCATTTTTAAACCCAAACCCCATTATCAGCCAGCTCCTATGAGCAGCCACCGTGGAGGCCACCAATGCCACCCATGACACTGGTGCCATTACAGCAGGAGATGAATCTGAAAATCAGTCTTGGCATCACCACATGGCCCGATGTGTTCCTGGGCTCAGCACAGCTCAGCTCCACGACCGGGCTTCAGACGGCAGTGCAGCTTGTGAAGCAGCAGAGTAAATTAGAATGCAGGTTTGAATTACTCCTGCCATGGCAATTACTTGGTTATCGGCCTGCATCTGGTGAGATTTAAAGTGACACATCCATAGCTTGGTACCTCACCACCAATCTCCTCAAACTTCCGTGCTGTAATCACTCATCCAACACCGCTATCTTTAGCTCCTAATGCAGCCCCCTTAAGCCATAAGCATCTCGAGCCAGGGTCAGGATTACCTTTATGTCTAGGAAGGGAAAAAAGTGCTGGGAGATCTTTTAAAAGGAGATAAACCTCAGGGCAACAGGCTCTAAGTGTTCATTAAATACCTGCCCAGTATTTAAGGGTAGCTATGAAGAAGATGGAGACTCCCTTCTTACAAGGAGTCCCATGGAAAAGATGAAGGGTGACGGGCACAAGTTCTTCCCAGGGCGATTCCAACTGGACACTAGAGGAAAACTCTTCCCAATGCCAACAACCAACTGCTGGAATAATCTCCCCAAGGAAGTGGCGATTCCCCAGCACCGGGCACTTTTAAGACTGGGCTGCACAGGGTGCTGGGACATCTAGTCTAGATCATGCTTTGCCTAAAAAGGTTGGCCCAGATGATCCTTGAGGTCCCTTCCTTGAGGTACCTCCCTGGGACCTCCCCATGATTCTGTTTTCCCATAAAACATCTATGGGAAATAAATGGCTTTTATCCCATTTAACAACTTCTCCCATTTCTCCTCCCAATCACAGAAACCTGGTCCATAACAGAGACCCTCACTCCTTACCCAAGGAGACAGATTAACCAGTTTCTGGACAAGAAAATACTCCAAGTAATTCAGGAGCAGTTTTCAGCGTGACAGCACTAGCAGTAATTTACTGACAGGACAGCAAAGCAGATCTGCTGGAGAAACCAAAAACACTCCCTCCCGGTTAGTCCCAAGGAAGGGCTGACTTCCTCCACAAGAAACCATTTCGGATTGGTAAGAACACCATGACAACTACGCATATGGCAGTTCCTGCAATAGGCAGCATCCCACAGAGCCCTGCTCTGGGATTACCACAGCTTCAGCAGTGGATCCAGGGATCACACCCGACAGTGGGGGGGATTCTCACCTCTATCTTCTCTGCTTTTCCTGAAGCAAATAAAGACGTAGTTTACTTTCATTTTTTCTTCAGCAAACTCCAACAGTGCTGATAACCTGCCAAGGAGGAGGAGGACAAAACAACATCAGCCATAGGAAGTCCTGTCCTGAGGAAGCCTCTGAGCATTAGCAACTGTTTGGATGTTTTCAGGCAGCAAGATCACTTGTTTACAGCCCCCTTCCAGCGAACAATGGGTGCTGAAACAATGGGCTTCCTGCTTTGCTGTCCACCCCTGCAGAACCCAGAGCTGTCCTCACACCACGTCACCCAACCTGCTGTCCTTGGCCAGTGCCAGTGCACACAAATGCCGGTCCCCACCACTCGGTGGTTTTGTACGGAAGCCTTCGTACGTGGGGAGCTGAACATTGCAGCAGATCTGAGCCAGGCTACAGCCCCTCTGCTGGCAACACACACAGGGGGGTCTGTAGGGTTTATGCTTTATGGAAAGGGATAAAAAAACCAACATCGAAAAATGAGCCCCTGCCAGGCAGAAAACCACCACTGAAGGAGCACATATGCAGACAGAGCAGTTTCCTGAGCACACCAGCTGCATGGCACACCTGGTTCTCCCTGAATCCACGCTTCCCTCTTTCCAGCTAAGTACTTCTGCCACCTCCTGATGGAAGCAGCGCTGTGCGAACCCCTCCAAGCCCTGGCAATCAGCATGGCAGAGCCATCACTGTCACTGCTGGCCTTGAACCAGTTAGGATGCAGGCTGCTAGAGCAGTGACAGACAGGGCTTCAGTTGACATCTAGCTGAGGAGCAGTCAGCAAGACTGGGGTGCAGCGAGGGAGATTCAATTTGTGTTTGTTCGTGTGGTAATGAACTGTTAGAGCCTCTGCCAGGCCGTTTTACCTAGCTAAAAATGGTCTGGCAAAATTGAGCGCTAAGTCATAATGACACAGGTGTCTAAATACCCTCTCAGAAGAACCCACTCGCAAAAGAACGGGTGCTTGGACAGCTCAAAGCGTTACAGGATGAAGAAATCACACATTTATCTAGACAGAGTAAAATGCGACGAGTGTGAAACAGCAAAACCACTGTCACTTACTGCAGGTGCCCAGTGAGGGGGGGGTTCTTAATTAGCTTGTGTCATTTACAGCTGAAGCCTATTGGGAGAATCAGGAGGACTTCAGAGAGCTCTGCACTGGAATCCAGTGAAGCCACATCCACGCTGCAGCGCTTCCCGCCAGCGGGGATCTCTGGCAAAGCACTTGGCAGGAAGGAGCTGCTCTGGAAGCTGCGTTTACACAAACTTCCCAGGGCAGAGCTGTCTGGACAAAACACTGCTGTGCTCTGCCAACAGAGGAAAATCAGAGGCTCTGGCAGAGCCCGGCGCCGGTGTGGCAGGACTCCAGGAAAGATCCACCTACTGAAGCAGAGCATCAGTAAAATGGAGTTTGGGGTTTGGTTTTTTTTTTCCCCTGAAAGAGAGGAAATAGCTGCCAAAATAAGCTGGCAACGAGCGTTCCAAGTGGCCAGCAGAAAAAATTAAAATAAATCCCCCAAAATTCAGGAAAAAGCTTGTAGATTTTCCATGCCCAAGTACGCAAAGAATCACTCTGTTCATTTACTATTTCTCATTAACATAGAGGCTCAAAAACCAGTAACCCATCTGAAATATCACTGGAGAGAAAAACAAGTGTATGGAGGACTAACAGGAGAGCAGCTCTCTGAAGGCAAGGGAGTAAGGACACAGATATACAAACCTGGAACAGAGCTGCCGTACACAGAGCCCGTTCTCCCTGCATGCACGGCATCATGCATGTAAGCACAGCCCTGCTGCCTGGGAGCCTCAGACGCAGCTCTGGGATCCTGAACTTACCCTTCTTTGCTCCCATCAGCTAATAATCCGTCAGGGATTTCCACAAAGAGGCTCTGATTAGAGAGCACTGCGTCCCAGGAGGAGGTCTTCACCTCTGTGACCTTGTACTGGAAGTGGACAATATGAGGCTTCCCTTCGTGCACTGGGACATCTTGGTTAACAGTGATCTTCTCGTCCTGTGCAGGGGAGGAGGAGAGCTCATGAAGTAGGCTCTAGGGTTAAAGAAAACTATCCATGAGATTGTAGACAAAAAAATGTAGGTGATCATACTTGAAGAGCAAACAGAGGAACTGTTCTCAATGGGAGCACCCTCCTGACAAGGGACAAGCCCATACAGACTGGTGGGTGTCCACAGTTTCAGCCTATCCCTAAAATCCCTACCGTGAGACTCACCATAGCTCATGAGGGTATGCACAGTCTGATGTAAGCTTATGTCCAAGTCTCAGAGCTCTAAGCAAGTGTTTAAGTGGGTAAGAGGTATTGCTCTGGACTACCTGTAATACCTTGCTCCCATTTTAACCTAATACAGAAATAAAGAACAAAAAGAAAAGTGAAGCCCTAAGTATTGAACAGCCAGGGGAGTGTAACTAGAGAGAGCAAATGCAAAATACACGGTGTTACACCTTTACTAAGAAGAACATTATACTTTTCCCTTTCCCGCTTGCTGGCTCAGATACACACCACAATAAGTACAGAGACCTCAGAGCGATTTTCTAGTCATGTTTTCCTGTTCAAGGGAACATTAATTTTGCATATTTACATTATATTATATTTCTGGCTAATGACAGCCCATCATCACTGCAGGTTGCAGCCACATCTTTGAAGGGCGGTTCATGAACTACCCTTCAAAGAACACAACTTGAACCACAAGCTGGAAGAGCATCTGTTGCTGCAATCGCACCAGTTTCATTGTCTCCCCAATCCTCAACACGGCCTTTTTGTTTAAGGAATGACCACAAATTGCTTTCCCACATTTTACAACCTACTGGAATAGCAAATGGTTTGTCTCCTGGTACAAGGGAAGAAAATACAGAGCACTGAGAGGATCCCAAAACAGAGAGAAACTACAGAGACTTGAAGACTGTAAGGAGGTCTCTTCCAGAGACCACAAATGTGCATGTCCCTCCCCAGCACTGCTCTAAGGAGCATGCGGAGCATGCAGACCACCTCAGACTCAGCCCTGCAGTTCCTAGAAAACACTTTTGCGGTTAAAACTCCATTCCTTCTCGTGACAGTTCCTGCAGGCAGTTGCCTTACCCAGCAAACAACTTCCACATTTCACTGCCAAGAGCCCAAATGAAACGATGAAGAAATTCATTAGGTTCCCGAGTTAACATTGTCAGCTGCAGCGGAAGCTGAACCCTTCCCATCTGCTCGTGCCTCTCAAGTCACTTACGCTTACAAAGTCACCTGCAAAGCTTTGAAGGGGAGGAGTAAAGCAGATATTGGAAAGGCAGATATCTGTTCCTGAGTCACAGGAGTACCTGGGAAGGCCACACGTCCCTCTCTCCTCAACAGCACCAACAGGTGGGACCGAGGTTGTTCAGCTCATCAGGGCATTAGGTCCAGTCTTGAGGCATTTGACTGTGACAGGGTTATTAATTCAGCAGCTCCTTGTGAGCTCTGATCTGCTGGTGACCAGCTGGACTGACAGTGACACAAGTGACACTACTGCAGAGACAGTACCTCACCAGATGAGTTTTAATACATTCATCTCTGACCAAACCATGCACAGAGTCAGAGAAACCTCACGCCAGTTTGGATCTGCAGCGAAGCAGCATTTAAAAGATGGGCAGAGTGTGGAAGGCCTCCTCAGTGTCACCACTTTCCAAGTGGATGTTGTCTTGTGGGTGTTTTAATCTCTGACAGCGTGAGTATTGCTGAAAGAACAGCAAGTGGTTCAGCAAAAACACCACCAAGAACCTTTCCAGGCTCCTCAAGCCCATGTCCCAGTGCTTTAATTCCTATTACCATGTGTATTAAAATAGATCCCTCTTAGTTTGACTATTGTGACAAAGAAGAAGCCATCAAGTGTGTTAATGCTGCCATCAAAAGCATGTAAATGAGGAACTGCCTGGCTTCGGTAACCAGAGCAGAGGAAGCTGCCGTTTGTTTAAAGCCCACAAAGCTGAGCTGAAAAACAAGTTTACACTTCAACAGAATAAATATCCTGTAGGAAATAAGTTTATTCATCAAGTTTGAAAGAAGTTTTCATGGCTGCATCTACTGCCAGGTTTTACTAATTTCAAGCCAAGCACACCGAGAAACCTACTGACAGCTCTCCAGTGAAGTCAGACTGCAGCTGAGCCAGCACCACCCGCAGATCTGAGCCCAGAGGGAGCTCTGCATTACAGAGGTGTGTTTAAAACCCAAAACAAGGGGATTATACGCACATCCTTCAGCAGTGACTTCATAGGAGCCTTTTACAGTTGTTACCAAGCAGAAAATGTCTCTGTTTCAGAAAAGATCCTTCTCTCCAGAAAAGCTCACAGATGCTTCTTTTCTTACACTTCATGAAAACAAAAACAGGGTGAGGAAGTTGAGAAAAGCAGGCTGGGATTGTCACATTGGAGGGGGAGGCACACGCATGCATTTGCGTGGAAAGACTGGCAGCAGCCTGCACTAGGAGGGGAAAAGCTTACCGAGCCTCCTGGCTCAGCCCTTCTGTCACCAGAAGTTATGCCCTGCGCTCCAAACCTAGAGGGGTTTTTCCACTTAAGAGCCTCCTAATGCGACAGCCCATGAAAAGGCAGCACAACCACAGAGATTAACAGAACCAGTTCCCCTGGTTCAGTGGGAATTACGTTTACACATCCTGTCTGGGGCAGCTGGTATTTTATTTCTAGGCACCGAAATGCCTGGAGATGCTGGGGAGAGAAGCTGTTCCTGTGAAGCAGCAGCCCAGAATCCTTTGGAAGCTGCTCAAAGCAAACTCCTGGTTGACACAACAAATGTTCAGTTTTTAGTTCCCCCCTGCAAAATCCCCCCACCACATTACTGCGGGCAAAAAAAATAATCCCAACAGACTCTCTTCTATACCCCGCCACCTAAACCACCGCCCCGCTGGCCCTCAGCTCCAGCTCAGTGCAGTGAAGCCACAAAGACCAGCTTCCACTTGCTTACAACTCATTCAGCACAAGATTTTCCAACCCAGCTACACTCCTCAGCTGCTCCAAGAAGGATGGGGGGAGGCCCCTACGTGCTGGCAGTGCAGGAAGAAAGGATGTTATTGATCTGCCATAGCCAAGCGCCTGGAAGACCAGCGTAAGCAGCCTCCTGCTGGCATGTGCTTCACCTGCAGCCTCCTGCCAAGCCTGCAAGCCTCAGCACGTCCTTTCACATAAACCCGTCCCGGCTGTGCAGCATTCCCAGCTCAGGTAAAGCTTCCCTGACCAAGGGCTGAGTATTAAGTCTTCTACACAAAAATAACAACAACTATAGGGAGCCCTGGCTGCTGAACTTACAGCACTGTTGTACATGAGTGCTGTGCTGTGTGCTCTGAAGGAGGCAGGCTTGTTCAGAAAGGTCATCCCCTGAGCTATACCAGCTGATACAGCTGGAAAAAGGACTTAAGCTTTTTGGGTCCAGATACCTTTCTATGTCATGCTGAAGCCTGCTGGCTGCGAAGCTCAGACTGCTGTAACTAGAGCACCACTCAACTGAGCTGGTGACTGAGGGGAGCGGGGAGAAGCCCGATAACCCCCATCTGAGGTCCAACTTTAAACCATTGGGCAACACAGCCCACTCTGGTCTGGGATGAGCAAAGCTACAGAAGGGGATGATTTTCTGACAGATTCTGCTACGTTTTGTCAGCAATAAACACAGGAAAAATGACATCCATATTTCTAGGATGCAGCTACCTAGATGACATCCTCACAGGCAGCAAATCCTGCCCACAGGCCAGCACCAAAAGCTTCTGTGCAAATTCAAGGCCATGCTAAAATCAAACACTTCAAAGTCTCCAAACTGTGATTCTTTCCTCCACCCTGTTTCTGCCTTTGGACCTTGCCTGCTGTGTGTGCCAGGCTTGGCAAAGCAGGCCTGCAGGAGTTAAAGCTGCAGGGTCACCTATTTCTCATCCCCTTCCACCCAGAGGGAATTCATCATTTGTTCCGAGCCCTCCTGAAGCTATTTATGCATCATCTTTATCTGACAGGAAGCCCCTTGTGCTCTGCTGCGTCTTTAGATTTCATACCCCTCCAACATCTGTGACAATTCAACTCAATAGCGTTAAGCTGATATTATTAGGAGACTAGAGAGATTGACATTTATTCACAAGGTAAGTAGGTGAGGCATGTGATAAAAATTCACCAAGGCTGCATGAAATAAAACTCCTCTGAAAGCAGATGTGAGGTCTGTGATTCTCATGAATTTCAAGAGGAGACTTTGGTAGCTGTGACCCAAAAGGGCCCTTATCTTTTTATCACATGAAGCCTATGTGCCTCCCACAGGGTAATTAAAAATCAAGTCTAACACCTATGGTGACACTCCTATGTGAACAGCTAAATTTGCAAGCTGAGCGTCAGTTTAGGCTACCTCATCTGATAGCACCTTACTCCCCAGCATGTGGAGAAGCAGCCCCTGGCCAGAAGGGAGACAGACGTGCACCACCATAACACAACACAAATTTTCACAAGTGCCAATTATTCTACAGCAACGAAGAGCCCAGTCTCCTTATGTGAAGGGAAAGGTCCCGAGGCATGAAGAGAGCTACACAGATCCTAAGGAAGTCTGCACACACAAAGCCTTCCCGATCTTCCCTCGTCCTCCGCCTGTGTTCTAGGCACATTCCAACCATGTCCTGCGCCTGTGTTCTAGAAACGTGCCTATCGCCTCACCCTTTTGTGAGGTCAGGAGTTGCTCTGTGCAGCTTTACTTTGTGGACCAGGGCACAGGAAGGAGCTTATCAACCATTCTCTCCCTGCATTTCACCTTTCTGCTTCCCACTTCCTCTTTCTGCACAACATTCAAGAAGTTGTTTGATGTTTTGGTTAACGTGGCTCCACACAGAATAGCTGAAACAAGCCTCTGGGAACAGGACTAGGGAGTTATTTACTGCATGCCACTGAGAAAAGGTCTCTTGTTTCTTAGTAGGCAGGTGATATTTAAGCAGGAGAGCACTGCATGCAGCTCAGTGATCTGCCAACAGGGCTGCTGAAAAATGAACTGTTCTCCCACTTATCACCTCGGAGTTATTTGCATTTATTCCCATCAGTCTGTAAGAGGAACCGAACAGTCGCCACACGGGTACAGGTCATTATTTGGATGTCAGATCTTTCTCACCTTATATATCAGAGCTGAAAGAGAAGGATCCCTGCTACCCCCTCGCCCACCGGGGATCTTCGACAGTGGGTGAGGGGCATCAGGAGCACCACAGAGGCCCTGGAACAATGTGCCTGCAGCACTGCAGCTGGGGACAGTTACTCAAAGGTAAAATACTACTGCAAAAAAAAGAGAGAGAGAAAACACCAGGTTACGTTAGCAGGGACAACGATTCGGGCGCTACAGCTCCTCACTACCCCGACCTACTTGTACCCCTGCCCTCCACAGCACATCAGAGGCAGCTACTGTGGCTCTAGTGCCCAGACACCCATGTTAAAAACACCCCTGCCCCAGTCGCGTCAGAACCAGCGGCCGTTTGTCAGATGTGGAGGGGTTTGCAGCCAAGAACCCAGAGAGTGCTGAGCAACCTCATGCTAATAGGGACCCCTGGAAGGCTGCCAGCAGCAGATGGCTGGAAACACATGACCAGATGAGCACACATTTCCTATAGACAAATATCTACAAATAGATCAACAGGACCCAGAAGGAGGTTTAAGTTTCACATTTTCAAAAGCAGAAGGAGTGAAAGGGCTGATTCTTCAGGTATTTTCTGAAGGCTCTACAACATCCGAGTTGACATTTTCACATGCAAATGAAACACCATACCAGCACCCTTCACTTCAGCCCTAAACATTACCAGTTCACCCCACAGGTTTACTTTTACAAACAAGAAAACAAGTTTCCCCTGCAGTTTGCAGATTTGTTCGGATGTCCTAAACGTGATCTTTCAGCACCACTTCGAGCACAGGCTTTAATATCTGATCTAGATTTTAGGAAGTTCATGAAAGCAAATTATTTTACTTCTGGAGCATTGCTTCCTTTATCAGTACCACAAAAGCTCTTGGCTGAGGCAAGGCACTGCACTGGTATTCCTCTAACAAACCCTGCAAAAGCAACCCGGAGAAACCACTTGCTCCCCAGCATTCCCATTATGAAATATGTCAGCGTAAAGCTATATAAACACCACCAAAATAAAGGGGAGCATGAGGGTCTTCAATAAGCACAGGGAGCAAGGAACAAGGCTATGATGGGCAGGCTCCCTAGATGTATTGACAACTCAGGACTGCCCTCAAACTTCTCACTTGAGCTGTTCCCAAGGCAGTGTTTTTCCACTCTAATCCCTCTCCACAAGGGAGACGGGCTTAAGTATCCAAAGACAAGCACCGAGCTGCACTGTCAGAATAACCTGCACTGCCTACACAGTGCTGCTAGAACCCATACCAGACTGCAGACAGACTACTGAAACTTGGCATTTCTGAATGCCAAAAAATAACTCACAAACACAGTTACGACACAGGCAGCATTTGCTAAGATCTTGGCTTGCCACCTCACACCAAAATACTCTTCCTACAGGAAACACAAATATTCTTCCTCCATATATCTCCTCCTCCAGGTTCGCTAGACTGGGCTCTTCAGCAGCATGCCCATGGACCACAGTAGGCACATGTTGGAGAAAAGGCTGTTTAAAGAAACTAGGAAGAGATACAAAGCAGTTGCAGTGTAGCTGTCCCAGGGCAAACCCCTTCGCACACATGCCCAGTGGCATTTTGTGTTAATACAGTCCCTCCACAGGCATGACCCAGGCTATCAATGGACCAGTGTGTATTCAGTAGTAGTGGATGTTGAAAGGCATGACAAAGCACTTTGCTGTGCCGTTCCCCACCCCCAGAAAGCTGTTGGCAGCTTTGTTATTCCCTTCCCTCCTCCCTCACCCCCCGGTCAACAATGTGCTATTGATAGCTCTCTCGACTTGCGGCCAAGGCATCAAGAAGCTGGATAATGAAGTGTAGTTGTGGGAAAAAAAACAAAATAAGGAAAAAAAGAAAAGAGGCTGCAGTTTCCATGCAAAGCAGCCCCAGACACTTCCCACTTTTGTTTCCTCTGGCACATGCAGAAGTCAAACACAAGACCCCTTCAGCCACAGCTCTGCCTCGGCACTGGGGCTTCACCTCGTCACCACTGTCCTGCCCCCAAAGTTGGCTCTGGCAGGCAGGTAGGGTCCGAGAGCAGCACATGCAGGACAGCACCATTAGGCAACACTGGAGGGTGAGCGTGTGGCACACATTGAGGTTTTGCTTCTCCCAGAAACACCCTGGGAAGAAGTTCAAGCAAGCATCCAGGGAAGTCCAACCCCCTCATGCATCCATGCACACTGACACTTAACAATCAGGACTGTGCTCCCCCTCAGCCCCTCTGATGAGGAGCTGCTTCCCAGCAGCTTGGTTAAGATCAAAATTATATTTCTGGGTGCCATGGTTTAGTGTGAGGGGTCCCTGCCCATGGCAGGGGCTGGAACTGGATGATCTTAGGGTCCTTTCCAACCCAAACCATTCCATGATTCTATGAAAATGCATTTGGATCCCCAAGGGCCTTTCCCCAAAGGAACTCCCAAGCAAAAGCTTCTCAGTGACCGAGCCCAGCCTGAAACAGGAGCTGGAAGCGCACGCAGGTTTCCAGCCAGTGTGTGTAATTTTAACTCGCTAAGCTTCCAGCAATCCCAACCCCGTGCCCTGTCCCTGGGAAGCGCAAAGGACAACTTGTCAACTTCTGAACCCCATCACAGCTCCTCCTCAGCAACCCAAGCCCCAGGCCAGCACTGCTGTCAGTCCACAACAGCCACCAGCTTGGGGCCCAAAACCCGAGTATTTCCCTGGGTTTTGGGGGTTTTCTTTGCAGCGAGCACTTGGATCAGACAGGCCGATCCACACAGCTCACGTGACATTACAGAAGCAAAGCTGGTTTTGCTTGGGTTTTTTACCCCTTGTCAAAACAGGCTCTGAAGATGCTGTTGCACTTTGCCGACAATAGTAAGATCTTATGCTGCGAGCCACGGCAAATCACATATTAAGGAATCGGATTTGAGGAGCAACTTGCAAATAACTGCTGATGAACACAGCACAGCTCAGGTATCTACCCTACATGCAGCAGCCAAGAAACAAGGCTGTTTATACACATCCTCCTAGTGCTTATCTAGACGCTATAGCAGAGGTCAGGAAATTACTTTCGGGACTCTAAACAAGGAGCAGACACACAAAATCATTTGGTCGGCTGAGAACAGAAACACTCAGAAATGGAGGGAGCTCATGGTCGGTGATAGCCAATGTGCCAGGAAGAAGCACCTTTCCCTGGAGATGCCCCATCCCTGGCAGTGCTCAAGGCCAGGTTGGACACAGGGGCTTGGAGCAAGGTGCTCCAGTGGAAGGGGTCCCTGCCTGCGGCAGGGGCTGGAGCTGGAGGAGCTTTAAGGTCCCTTCAACCCGGACCATCCTGTGATGCTGTCACTGCGGGAGGGAAGGCACAAGCCCTGCCCGGCGTTAACGGCTCATCAGCAGAAGGCAGCTCAGCGACTCGCTGCGGGGTGGCCCCCTCAAGCAAGACCCAGCCCCGAGAAGCCCGAACACCGCTCGGGGCTCACCCCGGGGACAGCGGAGAGCCCGCTCCCCTCCCGCCGCATCAGCGCCCGCCCGCCCCGGGCCCGCCCGCTCCGAGGGGCGCGGAGGCCGCGGCAGTGAGGGGGGCGCCCCGCACCTGTCCTGGGTGTTTATCATCCTCGGCTCCGCTGGGCTCCGTGGGTCGCTGGGTGCGTGCGGGTGCGTGCGGGTGCGTGCGGGTGCGTGCGGGTGCGTGCGGGCCGGCTCGGCTCGGCTCGGCTCGGCTCGGCTCGGCTCGGCACCGCCACCTCCCGCACTCGCCGCCGCGTTCCGTCTGACCCCGCAGGCCCGCGCTCAGCCCCGCCCCCCTCGCGCACCGCGCGGGCACGCCCCCCCCCCCCGCGCCGGGCAGGCCGGGAAAAGACCGCCCCAAACAAAGTCGCGCGCGGTACCGCGCCCACCCCCCCCCCCGCAGGCGCAGTGCGCGCCAAACCTCCTCCGCGTTGTGACGTCACCGGCCCGTGCGCGCGCACGGACAGGCCAAGGGGAATGGCTTGAACCTGCCCGAGGGGAGACTGAGCTGAGCTCTTAGGCAGAAGCTCTTCCCTGTGAGGGTGCTGAGGCGCTGGCACAGGGTGCCCAGAGAAGCTGTGGCTGCCCCATCCCTGGCAGTGCTCAAGGCCAGGGTGGACACAGGGGCTTGGAGCAAGCTGCTCCAGTGGAAGGGGTCCCTGCCCGTGGCAGGGATCGGAGGTGGAGGAGCTTTAAGGTGCCCTCCAACCCAAACCGTTCCGTGATTCTCCACGAGCCTGCAGCCCGGAGTGCAGGGGGTATGGAAGTGCCAGCACTGTGATGGGAAGCTAAAGCATGTCTGCACTGCTTGTTGCAGTGGAAGAGGCCAGGGCCAGGGCCTCTGCCTGGAAGTGTTTTGTCTCCTGCGGTACTTGCGGGGGAACAGGTCAGGGAGTAGCGATAAGGAATGGATGGTGGGCCCTGGTGGTGCCATGGCACATCAAGCTACTGGCTATGATCACAGAATCACAGAATGGTTTGGGTTGGAAAGGACCTTAAGATTATCCAGTTCAACCCCCTGCCATGGGCAGGGATGCCTCACCCTAGACCACATCACCCAAGGGTCTGTCCAAGCTGACCTTGAACCCTGCTGAGGATGGAGTGTTCACCACTTCTTTGATTAGCCTGTTCCATATCCTGCTTAAAGTATGATGCTAGTGCTTCAAAGGTGGCCTGGGGAGCTGCCGGCTCCTCACCTGGGTGAGCAGGACCTAGAGTAGGGAAGAGAGGAGTGAATACATGGATAACAGGATGCTGACCTGCCCATGGCAGGGCTCTGCAGGGCTTGGGATTAGCAATGTGCCTCAAAAGAAAAGGTGGCAGCAGCCCCCCAAGCGGGGGGCCTCTGGGCCTTGGTCCCACAGAGCTCAGAGGGTGCTGAGCTTCACATGGGGTCAGATGCCTGCGATGCCCCGCAGGCTCTGGGATCCGACATGCAGCCCTTGGCCTGAGCTTCCTGGTTCCCAGCGCTGCAGCACCGGGCCTCGCTCCGCAGGAAGCGACCAGCTGTTTGCAGAGAGCTGGATGCTGGCCAGAGCCAGAGTTCAAACACAGCCTCTGAAATGGCCTTTTCCCCCTTCCTCTGCGTTTCAAGCCCTGTTTGCAGCCATAATTCTATTTATAATACCCAGGAAGAGCGAGCCGAGACTTTCCCACAGTGCTGGCTTCGCAGACGATTGTTGTTCGGGAAGCTGGAACGTTCAGGGTATTATTTTTGTATACCCACGGGAAGGCTTTATTTCTTTTTTTATTGCGTGTCACTCTGTGTCCCCATCTGTGCTGGGGAGAGTTTGCGAGGCACAAAGGGGCTGCTGCTCGCCACTCTTGAAGGCTTTGCTGCTGGTTTGGGTGTCTCTGCCTGCGTGCCCCTGCTGGGAAGGGTGGTGGGTGCTCTGGGACACGTCCTGGTGGCCAAGGGCCTCGAAGCCAAGAGGCTGTCACTGATAGCCCTGTCTCGTTACTGAACCCTGGGGGCACCCATCATGTCGCGTGCTTGCCCTGTGCCTCGGCGTCTTCTGTGTGGAGGGAACACCAGTACCCCTGCTCACGAACTGGGATCACCATTACTGCCACAACCGTGGTGTTGGCAATGACAAGTGCAGTTGCGTTGCGTTTTTGGGGCTGGGCATGACAACCAGGTCACAGCGTCACCAGCTGTTGGGCTGCTGCTGCCAGCGGAATCCAGCGGGTGCTTTTTTGCCTTTCTTGGCCATATGAGGCTGTTCCTGCACAAGGAGCTGCACTGGGATGTTCTGGGCTGGCTGCGGCGTGGCCGGGCTCTGCGCTGCCCCTGCCCTCCCTCAGCTATTGCCTGGCAAGGGAGCACAAGAGGCAGTGCCCTGCCTGTGCTCTCCTCAGGCACCCAGCGCCTGCCTCGCTGCCCACAGCACCTCTGGCCTTTTCCTTCCCCTCCTTGGCAGGGCCCCACACCCTGTCCTGCTCAGCTGCATGGGAGGGGGTTCTGCAGGGCCAGCGAGGTGATGGCTCCTGCTCTGGGCACTGCTGAGGCTGCACCTCGAATCCTGTGCTCAGCTCTGGACCCTCACTACAGGAGAGACATTGAGGGGCTGGAGCGGGGCCAGAGCAGGGCAACAGAGCTGGTGCAGGGCCTGGAGCACAGGGGTGATGGGGAAGGGCTGAGGGACCTGGGGGATTCAGTCTGGAGAAGAGAAGGCTCAGGGGGGACCTGATCACTGCCTACAGCTGCCTGACAGGAGGATGGAGTGAGGTGGAGTCAGTCTCTTCTCCCAGTTAACAAATGACAGGGCAAGAGGAAATGGCATCAAGCTGCACCAGCTTGAGGCCTTGGCAGTGCTGGGGAGCTCCAGGCCCTTCACCAGCTCCATTGCCCTCCTCTGGACCCACTCCAGCACCTCAGTGTCTCTCGTGTAGTGAGTTCTTGCTGTTTGTCAGGGTGGGTTTGGGGATTGATTATCCCAAATTCTAGACACGGAACAGATGACATCTGCAACCTTTTCTGTTTTAGAGGCTTGCAAACGTTCATTGGGTATCTCCGTAATTATTCTCATTGATTATTGTGATTAACTGTGGATTACCTAGCTCTTGAACAACACTTTCCATCAGGGCAGATACTGAGAGAAGTGTTTTTCCACAGCTGGGAAATGGAGAACCGGAGTACGTCTGCTCCCGGAGCGGGTGAGCACTGGTGGGCTGGGGCTGAGCAGGGATAGCCACAGCTTCCTGGAACTGCCTGACACGGGACGCAAGACACTAGGTGGAGACAGGCAAGGACAAGACAACAGGGGGACAACCGCTCGGTCACAGCCTTCTTGCACACAGGGTTGACAGCAGAGACACTGCCCAGATGTTCGGGGCCATGGGGGCAAGCGGGGTCCCTGCGGGATGTCGAACATTTGCTCCACGCTCTTCCTTGGCTGCAGTCCTGGCTACAGTCTTTGCCTTTGTGTGAGAAAGGGCCAGAAGCGAGTTCACCCGCTCGGCCGGCCCCATGGCACTGCAGTCACAGGCACTCCCACTGACCTCATGGTGATGCAGCCACGCCGATATGGAAACCGGCGCTGTTGCAGAGGAGGCTGTACCAGGGAAGCGGCAGCTGTAGCCCTTCCCCTGGGCCTGTTCCCCCAGCGAGTACCACATGTTGGTCCTTCGGCTGTGCCCTCCCCACCAGGGTAAAGCATGACCAGTGCCGGGGTGTGTGGTGGGTGCCACGTCCAGCCAGAGCCTCGGACACACATCCTCGGTTCCTCCAGCAGCGCTGCCCAGCTGCTGCTTTGGAAGGGGGCTGCCTAATGGAAAACTGTTCCAAACAGAGGATTCAAACTAAACAGAGAAAAGGATTGGGAGCTGTAGGTATAACTGATACCCTGTGGTTATTTAAAAACATCTTTAGAAATGTGTCATTCAGAACTTTCCAGGGCATATCTGGGAATGGAATGATGTTTTTGTCAGCAGCCTGTTCCATGAATTCTCTTTTTTCTTTTTTTTTTTTTTTAACATGAGGATCTTGTTTTGCTAGGGGAAAAATTAAAATTAACACTGCCAGGGAATTTTGTTTTCATACCTTGATCCTCCTGTGCTGACATGCCTGTATTGTGTTACAGCCATAGAGGTACCAGGAGCATTCCTGGGATTTTGGCACCCTGTGTTTCTAGGTGAACTGTGGATAAATTCCATAAAGCCAGCCCACCTGTGCAGCCGTGAGGCTGGAATCGTGTCTGGAGGGTTTCTGCGAGTGTCCATGGCACGGGTGGATTTTAGTTGTTCAAACTGTCACATTGGTTGGTGTCGTTAACCCGAGTCTTCTGTCCACTTCACATCTGTAACAAAAAGAACCATTTCCTTCCAAGCTGTGTTGATACAGTTTTCTGCTGTTCCTTTGTATTTCCAATGGGATGAGATGATTCCTAGTCAGAGCTGGGGGTCAAGTTTAAGGCACATTGCTGACATCAACTGCTTTCTTTTTTAATGAGCTTTGTCAGAATTTGTTATTTAGCCATTAAGTGGTGCCAGCGGAGAGTTCATGCATGAGCTGAGCTGGAAATCTGCTAGGTGTGAATTAGTGATGAGAGAAAAGCAGGTCAGAGAGCAGCTTGTTTCAGAGAACGTTGGACATCAATCTTGGGCCATAACTGGCATGCCCAAGGCCTTGGGCCAGAGTGTGTGCAGAAGAAAGAACGTAGAAATTGTGACAAGATACAACTTCCCCCTGCTGCTGTCTGAAGATGTGTTGTCCCTGTTCATACCAGTGGGATGTGCATTGGCACCAAGTGAAGATGTTCATGTGCAGCACAGATTTGGGTGGGATGAGGAGCTGGATGGTGTCAGGGGGTGAGAACTGGTGATGGGACATGGTGGCCCACCATAAGATGGGTCTGTTGTGGGCTTGTGTGTCATTGCTGAGGCCTCTGCTCTGACAGGATGCTGTGGGCTAGAGCCAGCACCTTTGCAGACACTGATGTGATGTGGGATGGTCATGGGCTGAGATACTACTGCAAAGTGAGTCCCTGTCGAACCTGCAATCCCTCCAAGCACAGTGTCGGGACAGATTGCCCTGGAGGGGCAGGCAGGAGTTCTGCCAGCAAACACTGGAAAAGAGACAGTTGGTCCCTTCTCATGTGATCTCC